GGCTCCGGTGTGCGATCGGCGGCTCGCCCTGGACGCGCAGGTCTGGCTCGGCCACCGGCTGTAGTCGAAGGAGTGGAAGGGGCGAGGAGGGGGCGGGACGATGGGGTTGGGGTGGCCCTGGACCCCGAGCGCGAGCGCTGTGCCCTGGGCACCAGCTGCCTTTCGGGCTGGTACCAGTGCAACTTGGTGCGGAGCGAGCCCGCTCATACCGGCGTCTTGGGCAGCAGGCTTGCACCCCGAAGTTGGAAGCGGCTCGCGGAAGTAAGGCTATGTAGCTGGGGTTGGGCAGCAGCCCCTTCCAGTTTCGGGATTCAGGTCCCCTGGGGCGCTGCACCGTGCGGGGGTGGCTCCTGGAACTGATGCGTGGAGCCGCGGGGCGGACTCTGCCTGTGCGCTAGTTGTGGACGAGCTGGCCTTGGGGGCTTTATCCCTCGGAGCTGAGCGGGGATCCCTGCAGGAGCCCGCAGGAGGAAGCAGGTCAGTCCCCCGCCTGAGCCACCCGGTTGCGGTGTCTGGCAGGAGAGCGCAGCGCGCGCTCGGGAGCGCCAAGCTCCCCACGCGGGGGGACGCTGGAGCGGGCCTGAAGTTCCACCGCTTCCCGCGCGAGGCATCCCGGATTAGCCCGCCCAGCGGCGTCTCTGTGTCATTCTTTGCCCCCTTTTCCTCGCCTCATTTGCTCTGGTGGTCCTCGCGGAAGGGAAGGCGTCTTTAAACTAAGCAAAGGGAGGCTTGCAAATGGGAAGCTTGGTATCCCGCACTGGGGAGGCAGCCCGGGCTGGACGCGGGGGCGCTCGCGCATTTACTGTTACATCAGTGTCATTGTCATTTGGGGGCTCCACAGACCCCATCTGAAAGCCTTAACTAAGCGATGAAGCAACTTCCCAGCGAAATGCATACGCACAGATCGGTGACTGAGACCTCTGCATGCGCTCCTCTCTCCACCCGGATGGAAGGAGCTCCCCTGAGGAAGCATGCTTATCCCTAAACTCTTTTTCTTTTTAACTTTTCAATGGCCTTCCCTCCAAGACGGCGAGGTTGATGTGATGTGACAGGCGATCCTGTGTGTGGGGACGGTCGCCTTCCAAGCCTTAGTCCGGTTCTTTCTTTAATATCCTCGGTACAGGGATTGCTAGCAGCAACTGTAGGCCCCCACCTGCACGTGAAGACCCCAAACTTGCACACATTAATGGCTAAGCTTTCCAGCAGAGCTTGGACTTTTGGAAAAGGCTGAAATTGTTTAGAACATCCGTTTGGCTACACAATTACCGTTTTCCACTCGGTCATTTGAGAGGAATGATGTGAAGAATTCTTCAGCAGTTCGCTGTGGCTTTTATGGTGAGAAGCATTTCTGCTAAGTTGATGGTCGTAAAGAAGTGCCAGCCCAACACTTCCTTTGGACTGGAAATACAGACCTTAATAAGGCCGTGTGAGAGCAGTTTTCAGAAACATTATGACGGATGATGACTTGTGTCCTCCCAGAATGACCATGTGAGTTAACAGCCCTTATTTATGCAGAAAGCTTTCTTTATAGATCAGTGTTCTTAAAGCCGAAAGCTGTACTGCGAGGTGTTCTTCCTAAGTTATTTTCTCTCATTGTTCTTGCTGTCTTCTCTTGGTACCATCTAACTACTCTTTGGTGCTTTAAAATTTATTATAAGACTTTAAGTCGTGACTTGACTTGGCCAGTTTTTCCCTACAAGAGATAAGAAAGTTGCCCTTCTCACAAAAGCAGAGGCTGCCAGTGTACCTGTTTTTGAGTGGCGTTTTCCTCCCTTCTCACCAAAACCACCTATAATTATATTGCATATTCTTCATTGCAGGCGACCTTTCTCATATTTCCAGCACTAGATTGTTCTAGGTCACTTGAATTTCAGTGTTCATTTTCTGATCTTTTTAGAGATGTGCATTGTTTGATGACCTAGTTCTTCTTAGTTAAAAAGAAAACAATCCTTCCCTTTGTCCCCCCACCTACTTTTCAGTGGCACATAGCCTTTCCCTAATAGCTGCCTTTATCTGCACCTCTCATTTATTGTTACATCCAGTATGATACTTTGTTGTGTAAATGATGTGTGGATGCATATGATATTAAAACTGCATTCACTGGGGATTAACCAATGGGTATGACATCATCACCAGCCAATCCTCTATCTGATTTGAACATGCATTGACAAAAGTCACATTATCATATTGAGCAAGGGATTCTATATTGCCTGTGATGGATGAGGGAGAGAGGGAAGTCTTTCTGGCACTTTGTAACTCAATTAGCTGCCCAGTTGGAGAGTTTTGGGGATTTCTATAGTAAGAAGCTTAGCTTAATAATAAAATTCTAATATTGCAGCTTTATAGATCTCTATAGAATTTGCATAAGTACCTTTTTTCACTTATCCTTTCTTCCTCTTTGGGAGCTTTTCACCCTGGGTCTGACTCTGTTTCTTTATAAATATGGGGAGACATCATTATAATAGATGGACTAGCCTTGCGCTTCTTTCTGGGGGAGGGAGGGAGGCAGAAAGAACATGTAGGTGATAGACTCATTTGTTTGTATACGTGTGTTAGTTTCATCAGCTGTTAGCTATAAATCAGCCAGGATTAGCAAGATGACTTTAAGTCCTAAAGACAATCATAACTGATTGGGAGATGATGCAGTGTGATTTGTCTTTCTTTAGAAGATTCAGGGTTGAGGGTGGAGGGCAGGGAACGGTGTCCCTAAAGGGTGTGGGAAGTGACTTGGTCTCATTAATCACGTCATGATTATTTGTTCAGAAATGCTACTTTAACAAGCCCATGCCAGAAGTCAAGGCAGTTCTAACCTACACATGTAGGTCTAAGCCGTCCTGTGGAGCTGCGGTTTGTAGCAGCCTACTCAGTGACCTCTGGCATGAAACTAACTTTGCCTCCCCATCTAGTTGATATTTGTTTGAAAAAAAATAAGAATTATTTCCAGCTTTACTCTCACTGTTCGAGTTTGATCCATTTTGTTCCATTATGTCAGTCCAAAGGGCATCTGCGTGCTCTCTCTGAACAAAAACTTAATTATGCATTCTGGGGAAAGACTCAAACTTGAAGAATTTTAAATCTGAAAAGTATTTCTGAGTTCCTCTTTGTAGGAGATCAGGGTGGGAGGTTTTGTGACTTGAATCTACTGTGTTATAAAAGGAATGCCTGTATCCCAGTACTGTGGGAGGCTGAGGCAGGAGATTGCAAGTTCAAGCCCAGCCTGGTCTGCTCGGTGACTTCATGAGACCCTGTCTCAAAATAGTTAAAAAAGGGCTGGGGATGTAGTTCAATGGGAAGAAGCTGAGTTCAATTCTATCCAACATTGTGGGGGGCGGGGAGAAGGACAAAAGAAAATAAGAGAAAAAAGAACTCGGATTTGAATTTTGGAGTCTGAATTTTTAGCCCAGTGCCGTTTCCGGGAAAACTCTGGAGGGAACTACTTGTGAGGTATTGGCTGCTTCTCAGAGCGGAGTCTGCAGACCAGGGCCACATGGCTTCTTTTGCATGAAGGCTCAGGTGGTTGGGACATTCTCCTGGTTGAACCCAGCTGGAGGACTTGGCAGCTTTGCACAGCGCTTACCTTGGGTTCCTGTCTAGTGGCTGCCACAGTCCCTGCAGTTCCCAAGGAGAGGTTTAAAGAGCGCTGGCCATGGCAGAGGGCTGGGTAAGGTGACTCAGTGGGGACCTTTGAACACGTGCAAAGACATGGATGTTAAAATTATAATGAAGCAGTTTTAGGTATTGATTTAAAGGGTGTGGCCGTCTCCTCCTGCATTCTTTGTGGCTATTAGTTGCTGTAAAAAACCCATACTAATAATTTGGAATAAACCTATTTTCTGGCATGGTTGCAGATAATGATAATTATTCAAGATCTGTGGAACACTTGGTGTGTGCCAGGTATGGGGTACGGTGTTCGTGAAACATTCTGGTGAATGGATGGCTTTTCTATATGGGTGAACTACTGATTATTTATTTTATTTTTTAATTTTTTTAAGAGAAAAAAGATAAACATAACAATGAAACTGAGTTTCAAGACAGGTGAGTGGACAACTACATTACTTGACAGGTTGTGTATTGTTGTCTTCATGGTAGTTATTCATGGTAGAAGATATAGGCCTGATATCTCGTCCAGACAATGTTTTCACAAACCTTTCTTTTCAGTGAACTGAGAGAAACTAGCTGTATAACTATCTTAACTATCTTGTGTACACATAGATTGTTTTTTCCTTTTCCCTTTCTTCCTTTCCAAAGAACGGTAAATTTAAAATAACACTGAATCTTTTTAGTCACTCTTTTTAATTTAAAAGGTGCCAGGCTCTTCCAGTAGCAAGTCATTAGCATGAGCATAAATGATTTCAATTCAAAAGTACAGTAGAATCACAAATTAAGGGGTTTTTGTTAAGGAAATGACAAATATAAAGTTCTATTTAAAAAGATAATGAAGGTGTGCATAATTTGTTTCCTTTTATGAGCTTGTAGTATTGTTAGAAGAACATAGTGTCTTGTTTAGAAAAATATGAAGCTATCCTTGTGTTTCTTGTGAAATAAAGAAAACACTAGGTTTCTTGTTAAATAAAAAATGTGGTTTATTAGTGCTGTAAGTTCATTTGAAGCTGTCAAGCAATCGAACATTTCTGCAGCAGTTCAGTTATCTTAACTGAGGATGGAATGGTCAGAAGTATAGTGATTATTATTATTAGTTTTTTAATGATTGTTTTGTCTGCCTGCACACTCGTCGCTTCATATCTGTGCTGCAGGTTCTAAAGTTCTCTCTGAAGATTCGGGGTCTTCTTTCTTTTATTCATTTTCCTATCATTTTGCCCTAATGAATCATGAAAATATTGGTGGACCCTTTGCATACCATAGTGACTGACCTGTGAGTCACTGAGCATTAAACCTCAGGCTTTACAGCTTCTAAAGCGAATCAGAGGAGATTTCTAGCAAGGAACAAGCTGAACGGCCACCGAGGGCAGTGCTTCTCAGTGGGGGTGTTTCTTAGTGGGGGTGTTTTTGCTGCGCAGAGGAGGCGTGGCCGTGTGCGGC